TGGCGTCGAAAGCTGGCAGCTTGTCTGGCGTCTTTTTCTGGCAGCTGGACGCCATGGTATCGCTGTTGGTTTCGCTGCCATGGCATCCTAGTGCGATACCGCCCTAAGGAGTGTCGTTGAAGGAGAAAAGTAGCCGGTCTTTGTAGTAAGGAACTTCGCTATCTCTGCCTTCGTCATAGCCAAAACAAGTAGAGACGATAAACGAACAAGGACGAGCTGAATCCGTGACACTCATGCGTAATCTTGGAGGTGCATTGTGGGAGCGAAGGTAGAGTTTTGTACATTCCCGATTTCCAGTGTATATTGAGCTCAGGGTTCGGAGCCAGGTAGATAAGGTCAAGGGACAATGATGAGTTCTTCTGAATAAGGTGAAGAAATATTAGAATAGAAGACGTCCATTTTCCTGTCTCTTTCCCGTGAAATCAATGACTGATCACCACTCACGTTTCATGATTCGGGTCACAATAGGGTTCGACTCTTGTAACGGAAACAAAGTTTCGTGACTGCCGAAATCCGTAAAAGAAAACTTGACATGCCATTATGTTGCGTTCATTCTGAGTTCGTTCTTTAATTATATCTTTTTCGTGTAGTGTGTATTGAGATTAATAAATCATGCAGTTAACTTGTTAAACTACTCATTGTTTTGCGTGTTCCTGAAATAATAACGTGTAAGATGTATACTGATAACAAACAATACTGAAGAATATTTGCCATATTGAAGTTAAAACTGATATTAGTGGTGATTAAACAAAATTTACCATAACCATAAAATAAATCTTCTTGATTAAACTTCAGCCTCAATCACTACAATTTCATAATGGTATCATAATCAACGTTTCATTTCCGCCATATATGAACAATATTGCAAATTCTAAAATTACAGTTTATAATGTTCACAAATGTGTAGTTATTAATGTAAACCAATTACTACAGCGTTACAGCTTCAAGAGTCGTCGCTGGTGGCTTGTGTTTACAGTTCGAATTGGGTTAAGGGTGGACGTTTGGGTCACGTGTCCCCTTTACATTGTAATAATATTGTTACGAGTCACTTATGATGGCGACGACAATCTGTCTGTCGAACCAAACAACTGATATTCGTAACTAGAACCATGCGTAACGTTCATTTCCTATTACATCAGTAACTACGAGGTGCGATCGGAAAGTTTCTAGACTGCGCCTATAAAAACCCGTACACTTATCTCAGGTATTAAATTCATCCATCACCCTCGAAGTAGTTCCCCTGGGAGTGAACACAACGATCCCAGCGCCGCTGCCAAGCCTGGAAGCATCCCTGGAAATCTTTCTTTGTCAGCCTGTCAAGCACCATCTGCGATTCTGCCTGAATCTCTTCTGTCGTCTCAAATCTCCTTCCCTTTAGCTGAATTTTCATCTTTGGGAAGAGGAAGAAGTCACACGGAGCTTAGAAAGGAAGTTGGGGTCGGTTCTTGCAAGATCTTTGAGCTCCTGACAAACGAGAAGTCGATTCTGCTTCTGGTCCTCAGACAGGAGCCTTGGCACAAACTTGGCTGCGATGCGTCGCATGTGGGGGTCTTCCTTTAGAATCAGCTGACCGGTCCCATAGCCTATCCCAACAATGTCGCACAAGTCGTTGATGGTACGACGTCGATCTTCGTAACATTTTCGGGCGTTGTGCTCGGAGATGGTCGTCCAGAACGCTCGTCATCATCGCCAGAGGTTCGGCCATTTTTAAAACGTGAATGCCACCCAAAAGTTTGTGCACGACCCATTGCGGACTCCCCAAATGCTTGCTTTAGCATTTCATAGGTTTCCGTAGCCGTTTTGGCGAGTCTTTGGCAAAATTTGATGCACACGCCATTCCGAAATCGCAGGAGGGTCGGTGTAATGCACTACCAAAACGCCCGTAACTGAGAAACAAATGCTAATTCGATGATGCCGGCTGGCACACTGATTCACTATGAATGTAGGCCGCACCCCCTAGCGGCAGAAGCTCGTACTACATCCGGTTCGCCCTCTATTGACACAGTCTTGAAACTTTCCGATCGCACCTCGTACTCTGTCAGAATCAAGTCGACTGCCTTCTAAGTTGTAGACGTGTAGTCCGGTGTATGTTTACCGACGTTTCAGAGGTGCTTGCTGCCTCCATTTTCAGCTTAGCCGTTCTCTGGGTCGCAATGACATCATATACGTTACAGTGCAGGATCATCCTTCAAAAACTGATAGTCGCTCGGACGGTCAATAAGTTCCTTACTTTTAAGCAACCGGATTACTCATTACCTTTTTCACAATGACATCTCGCGGTGCCCTTCCCGACAGGCGACATAAATACCGTCAGTTAACCCTGTTTAAGGAAGAACAGTTTCCAAAATATCCCCCCGTTTATCCTTAGGTCTACCAGTTGCTCCCTTATATTCATATTTTATATATATTAATTATTTATTATAATTTCGTTCAAATTGATATCTGCCTCTCCTTCTCACTGTAAAGTTTTAAAGTTAAAAGTACAAATTATTAATCTTCTGTGTAAGACTTGAGGTTCTCACAGCGGTGAGTATGAAGATTTCCGTCTTCTGGGTTGTTGCGCTGTGTAGTCTGGTCGATGATTACCATCGTTTCAGAGGTCATACTGCCTCCGGCATCAGGGCGATGAAGGAGGCAGTATGACCTCTGAAACGTTGGTTAACATCGACCAGACTACACAGCGCAACAACCCAGAAGACGGAAATCTT